GCACTGGCACATGATGTCCCTAACATGTAACAGCGTGCTATGTATGCTAAAATGAGTAATGTGCCTAATTACATAGTGTTCTAAATGATGTCCCAAATATATATACGACAAATACGAAAATATACTAAATATATAGACAAACGAAAATATACTATCCCCAAAAAAAGAAACGCATATGCGTTTTGTATTTTTTAAATCTATTAATTACCCATTGTGGTCAAACAATCGTCAAAATATGTAACGAAAGTGTTGATAACAATATTTTACACAATTGCACAAGAAAAAAAATCGACTTTACCTGAAAATGTTGATTTTGATGAAAATTCTTAAAGGGATAAAAAAAGGCATCGCCACAACGCAACAGAAATCACCTTCCGGTTGAAATTGTGCAGCAAAGAGCATGCACTGTCTGGCTATAAAAATCCAGATTACTTTCGGAAATTGGCATTCGTTTTGAAGGAGTTTCATGGCCAAATCACTACGACACGTCTTGACTCTGCGACACAGAACATCGTCATTGCAAGAATACACGCTGGAGATTACCAATCTTATGTTGCCAGGCGTCTGAATGTTAGTCTGAGCACGTTGTCATGGCTTGCAGCTCGTTACAACCAAACAGGTATAACAAATGACCGTCCCCGTACAGGCAGACCTTGAGTCATTTCCTTCTTCTAAATTGATGTAAAAATTCATGTACTAAAGTCTATTAGTGGACGAGTTGTACATGTTTGAAAAAACAACATTTTCGCAACAGCTTTTGGGGTTATGCGTTTATTTTTTAAATAGCATATAACATGTAAGCAACAAGATATGGGCGACAATCTAACATGTTTTTATTCGCTTCAAAGATCCTGACTTCTGACTAGAGAGTCTTGGCAGTTATGTAATTGTACCAGAAATGGGTAGCTGAAACATGTATTACGACTATTGGTACAAGATCCTTCAAACTTGTCTGTCCCTTAATACACATGGTCTTTGTTTCAACCATACTATCCACGGGTATGTCCTCCCCAACCCTTTGTCATCATATATACTCATGCCAATAATGGTTGTCACCCCCCTCCCCGGCCCACCCCAACCCACACCTCACACCCCACCCCACAACCCCTCTCCAATTAAAAAACTTGAAGGGGGTGACAACCATTATTGGCATGAGTATATTTACGGATCATCCCATGATCTTTTGGATATTAGGGATCAATAGGTGTGACAGGATGGCAGGTTTAGTTTCAATGAAATTCAAATGCTTGTTTGGTTGACATAAGCGGTAACTTCGCCTTTCATAACACATGCCTTCTAAATTTAAATGACATTACATGTATACTCTTAAAAAAAAGTAGGGGAGCCTGAACTTTCAATTTGGATAGGGAGTGTAAGAGTTAACAAACTTTTCAAAGACAGACATCTTATGAACGCACCACCATTTATCTTTATCACAACCCCTAAAAGCAACGCATGGGATGCACGCGCACAACGCAGTAGCCCCATACACGTGCAGTAGCATGGGTGTCATTCTTGATTTTCACTGTTTTCAAGAAGGTCGATAAACCACTGTAGACGATTTATTTTGACAATCATCTTGCATCTCACAGTTGTTAGTATGTGTTTCTAGCCTTTTTTTGGTTTGAAATGAAAATCGTACACATGCAAATTTCACGTCATGCACCAGTCACCTTTGAAAAGCGATTACTGTACAAATAACTATGGTCATAAGGAAGTACAAGTGGTGATGCACTCTCAAACATTCATTATTACCATATCAACATTGATTGACTCCGACATATCTCCCAAGTTTTTCAATAGTAAATTAGAAATGAAGTTCCCCTACTTTTTGTTAAGAGTATACGTGCTAGTCACTAAAATGTTATTTCACTTGTTTGGCTAAAACGTAACGTATTTGATAAACGTAACCATCTGGTATACTATCATTATATATGAACTCGCTTTAGACAGGTGCAACCGCAAATTGCCTACGGTTATGTTAAGGGCATATGGGTCAGACGTTTCTAGTACAGCGTCTCTCGGAATATGTGAAACCATAATTACAAAAAGAGATACGTTTACAAGCTATAAACGGGACAAATTGCCCAGAATGATGTCACAGAGCACCATCACGACACACTCGCTATGGCATATTGCTCCGGGCAGTTGATGAGAATATTTCTTAGCTGTAATAATTTCAAGCAATCGCGCTGGAATGACTATCCTTCGTTTCATGAATTTGTGTTTGATGATTCTTTACTTTCCAATAAGTTCAAGTGGTTGCAAGGAATGAAGTTTCATAATTATGACTTATATGACGATCGAGTTCAGATCTGATCCTTTGATGTCAAAAATAACCTTCTTACATTTATCCATTAAACTACACGCACGTTTCACGACTTATTTTCACCGTTGATGACCATAGAAGTTTTTAACTTATATCCCTTTTATCTCGATGGTACAAAGAGAATCAAATTGGTTGGTGTGCCTATACGGCTTACGTAGATGTATTATTGGTACATAGCCCTATACAAGCGGAAGTGACATAAACCAATCCAAAGTGTATAAAGATTATGAAGTCCTCCCGGTAGGTTTGTTCTATGTATAAAATAATATCCTTCAAATGTAGGGCACCTGAAAGGTGGGGAAAGTCGATATATGTGATGTGTCTGTTTGACCTATTATTCATATCGGTGTGTGTACTTCACAGGTCATCCCAAATAATTGATGTTATACGTCTGACTGATGTGAGAGCGGATTGCCAACGTCATTGCTGATTATACCGGGATCATAAAGGTGATTTCATCTCATACAATATATCGAATAAATGCAGTTCGAATTGCGGAATTAAAGGAAGAGAGGCGGAAAAACCTCATTTCAGCAAATCAGTTCACCTCTCCTTTCCTGGAGCCACATATATGCTTAACACGTATTCGAGACGACTGTGTTTCTCGACATCCCCATAAAGACAACTACACAAAATACAGGCCGGGTCTCCTTATATTGAAGTGCCTTTGGGGAGAACGTGTTGTTTGGGTGTAGCGCATCGTGCCGTAACCACTTGAGAATGAGTGAGTGAGTATGATTTTACGCCGCTTTTAGCAATATTTAAGCAATATCACCAGAAATGGGCTTCACACCTTGTACACATGTGGGGAATCGAACCCGGGCGAACGCTTTCACCACTAAGGCTACCCCACCTCCCCTAACCACTTAAGAGATACACGGGTGTGCTGTAACAGTTCTCCCAGATTGTATCACCCATTACTTGATTTCCGGGTCCAAGTCTCTTAAAATAGGAAATATGGAAAAACTAAATATCAGAATATGTTTCCTATTCCCGCTAACCTGGTATAAGGGTTGCCTTGTCATCAACAGGAGAAATGTTCTGCAAAACATTTCTTACCAGATGGAATGGTCTTTTTAAATTACTTTTCGACAAACTGGCACACCTCCCCAGGCAGTGAACATGACTTACTGTAAGTATCAAATCAATTATAGGCAGACAATGGATTAGGATCAGCTAATAACACCACACGCGCTTCTTGTCACTCAATGCAGATGGTCCTGTGTGAGACTGACCCTCCCGAGTAGAAAGTCTACAGAGACTCAGCCAAACGTATTATTCAGTTACAGTAGTTGTCCCAGAAGGGAAGGAGCTTTAAAGAACAGTGAGTGAGTGAGTGAGTGAGTGAGTGAGTGAGTGAGTGAGTGAGTGAGTGAGTGAGTTCAGTTTTACGCCGCACTCAGTAATATTCTGGCTATATGGCGGCGGTCTGTAAATAATCGAGTCTGGACCGACAATAAAGAGTGAGTGAGTTTGGTTTTACGCCGTTTTTAGCAATATACGGCGGGGGACACCAGAAATGGGCTTCACACATTGTACCCATGTTGGGAATCGAACACGGGCGAACGCTTTCATCACTAAGGCTACCCCACCGCCCCTTAATCTTGATGCATTTTCATTTAATATTCTGCAGTTAGTATAGCTTTGTTAACCTATGTTCCTCAACCTATGTTACCGTGTATGCGTGTGTAACTCTTGGCCAACATCCAGCAAGCAATTCCCAAAGTAATGTAGAGCGGACTTAGCCGTAAGTGTACCTATCAGTTTTGCGGTGGATAAAGTAGGTGTGTGATGTCTCCGGATGCTGCACGATGAATAAATGGACGTGTCGACCAGTGTGTACCAATCTTGGAGACATGAAGTCCTCACGGAAGTACAGATATGGATCATCGACACAAAGTGCTGACGGGAACTGACGAGCCATTACATGTTAGATTCAGATGCAATACTTTCGTAATAACCAGCATGACATTGATATCTGTATAATCATATATATAACCATACAGTGTCAGGATGAATATTAGTGATGCTGTCCATTACTGAAGCAATTGCGTCTCAATCTCTGACAACTTTATATATCAATATTTAAGATTCGGCGCCGAATAGGGCCATTATTGGCATAGCATATATTTCATCATTTATCACACATCCAGTGAAAGGTTTCAGTTCGGCAAAAGATATCGTGTTTGTTTCATGGTGGCTTAAAGTTATACAGACAAAAAATTTACCGATGGTAATGTGTTTTTACATACGGGTATGACCGGTAAGAACGTGCTCCACGCCATGAGTATCTCCTATCCAGTGAATACAAGCTGTCAAATGAAGACTATTTTAGAATCCAATCATTCATTTGAGGGGCGGTGGGGTAGCCTAGTGGTTAAGCGTTTGCTCGTCACACCGAAGACCGGGTTCAATTCCCAACCATGGGTACAAATTGTGAAGCTTATTTCTGGTGTCCCCCGCCGTGTTATTGCTGGAACATTGCTAAAAGCGACGTAAAACCATACTCACTTACTTTCATTTGAGATAAACTGCATTTTGAGGTGAGGTGAAATTTGGTCTAAAATCGCGGTTAAGAATAATGCCATTCTGTAAGAGCTGTATGTTCTGATCCGGGCTGAAGCGCACGCCCGTTTAGATATGCTGCAGTGTAACAAGTCAACAACACGGGTTACACTTAAACGGTGACTTTATTCACATGAAATAATACGTAAATGCATTTCGTGCGATTGCTGTGTTGAGTGTATCTTAAGAACGCCTATCTTTCTGCCAAAGATCAGTGCAAAACGATCTATATATACTGGACAAAAGTAGTTAGGGATATATGTAAATTTTGAAATTATGAATAATGATGTATTTATTCATTGACACATTGATAAAATATCAATCATAAAAATACCAATATCCCTAACTTATTTTGTCCAGTATACATAATACAGCCCTTGTAACGTTCTAACATAATTATGCTTTATATTGTAATTGAACTAATGACATAGTTACAGTACCAAATATCTTACAACTATCGAAACAAGACACATCTCTCCACGTGCCATGAAAAGAGTAATAAATAGCACTTGACAAATTGACAGATCTGACGTACTGGTTGTTTAATACTTTAATGTCGCAATCACATTCATCAGATCCTATTTGATGACAAAATGAGAACAAATGTCATTGTCTTTTCATCGTGACATGACGTCTACAGACATCATCAGAAACAAGATGCCATCGATGACAACGATAGTTCACAGTCACAGATTTGCTGTGCCAAGTCGGCCTGAATCGTTGACGTATTGAAACCATAATCCAGTATGGCATGCGATACAATGATAGGAGATTTTTCCATCTTCGTCGAAGTTGTTACCTGAGGAGGCTGACGTCGGCGTTGCAGCCGTTCTGCCGACATGGGATGTGGCAGGTGAGATACTGATTGTTCTGTACACAGCCGGATGAATGGCTAACACTGCAACCTCTTTTCAAAATGCGATCTGAAAATAAATAATCTTCATTAGGGAAGGTAATAAAACAACAAAGCTAATGGAACAACCTGCTTTTATTGATCAGGGTGTTGTTGTACAAAGCAATCTCAGCGATAGGTTGATCGGAACTCTCATATTGTAACACTGACGTACGGTAATCCTAGCCCTATGACTATTTTGTACAACGGCAGCCAAATATTTTCAAGTTTTATATAACATCGTATTTTCTAGAATGCTTTTAGTATATTTGTTGCTTAAAACCGCCGCCAGCAATATTCAAGCTAAATGGCGTCGGTCTGTAAATAATTGGTCTGGACCAACATCATGAGCATCTATCTGCGCATTTGGGATACGATGACATGTGTCAACCAAGTCAGCGAGCCTGACCACCCAATACTGTTAGTCGCCTCTTACGACAAGCGTGGGTTGCCGTTCAAAGATAAGTTCTAACCCGGATCTTCAGGGGTCTAAACTGCTTTTAAGGGCTCAATACAATGAAGGGTGGGTGGAAGAAATTGTCTGTGTGACTGCACCGCGATGTTTTCCTTTGCCCAGACGTGTTGCAATAAAGCTGATAAACAGTTGACAGAGATGTAAAACAACAGTTGTTTCGTGTATTTGAAAAATTATATAATACTAAAATTGATGTTTTGATTATCATGCCTCGTTGACGGGCTGTTAAATACAGTGGTGGTTATACCAGGTATTCACAAAGACACTGATCGTATCCACTCGTCACAAACACGTGCAAGGGCAAGTCAATTGTCACCAGAAATAATGCAGGAGTGAGTGAGTTAGTTTACTTTTACGCCGCACTCAGCAATATTCCAGCTATATGGCGGCGGTCTGAAAATATTTTAGTCTGGACCAGACAATCCAGTGATCAACAGCATTAGCATCGATCTACGCAATTGGGGCACGATGACATGTGTCAACCAAGTTAACGAGCCTGACCACCCGATCCCGTTAGTCGCCTCTTACGACATGGGTTACTGAACATCAATTCTAACCCGGTTCTTCAAGGGTAAATAATGCAGGAACATATGGCACAAGATGTAGGATTTACATCGAACATTATTTTTTGTCATTAATGCTTCTAATTATAATTTGTTAATATACACCCAACATCCACCTTAAAAGCTGCCTAAAAGTCTATTAACTAAGCAGTTGAATCATGTACCCCTGATAATAACAAGAGTCGTATGACGAGATTTGAAATCAGCCCAGAAAGAGAACGCTCACTTATCTAAAGTTGTGAAATGGAGTAACCAAACTCTGGAGCTGGTGGAAGATATATATGTTGCTGGATTTGATTTTCCTATCTTGGGGACATTTGTTTGAGTCCATTGTAGCATTCCGATTACATCATGAGCATGTGTTTATCATTCACTGTCAACATAGAGATGATAAATACAAGGTAAATACCAAGAAAGACATAACCTCATCAGAAGGACAATGCAAAAAATTTTAAATCCTCCGATCATATCTCCCCATTCTCTGATCTTATAATATTCAGGTTGAAATCCACACATATCGATGCAAATTATTCTAAACTCTCTCTTGAAAAAACAAATAAAATATTAAAACCAACCATATCTATTCTTTGCTTTTCTATCAGCAACGACATAAATGATGAATGGTGTAGCTGACATCCATACTAAGGTAACTGTAATGACGTGATACGTGAACTAGAATGACTTGATACTAATAAGCCAAAGTTGACTGAAATGGAATACATCGTGTCCCATATTTTCCCGACATACCCTATCGCATGCGGTGGCATATACACCAAGAACCAAAGACATATATAACTGAGAATTGCCAATATTCGGAATCGGAAATGTGCTTAATGATATCACGCGACGATGTTATTACAGATGATGTCGCTGAAAGTCACAACAGGTTGGTGTTAACGCCGGAGCAAAGACATTACCTCACTTTTCATGATCCGAAGTAATAATGGCACACTTAGCCTCAACTCCAATAACACAACTATCAAATGTTGCGAAAGACTGATATGGTCCATTAGTCCAATGGATATAAACTACCCCCTGCATACGTTGAATTGGGACCTGTGGAAGAGTTGACATTTGATAGACATCAATTTTAACTATTTTGGACAATAGGCAACGACGTTTATGAAACTTATTTTGGGTGAGGTAACAGAGCCAAGTCGTTGTATCAGTTTTATATGTTTCGCTGAAACGAAGTCGTAACGTGTCGACGCGACAACGACCCTGTAAGGCTTTTCAATTCTATTTTCAAAACTGGTGTATTACAGAATTAGATAATTCAGGATTCCCAAACAAATACGGAATATGTAACACTGAATTAGCAGATAGATTAACGCTGCTATGAACAGTCTTTTTCAGATCACTGCATGCCAAATTAGGGCGGACTCCAGCATGGATACGTCTACCAGTAAAGACACCTATTTTAGCTATTTTGGACATATTAAGTACATACCGAGCCTTACGAATGAACTGTCACAGAGGTACCTCTTAGTTTAGAGAACGTCAACGCTGTCGTCGCTTATTCAACACGAACTCGGAGTGAGATGTGCCAGTTTTATAGGTTTATTTCAAACGAAGCTTGTTCGTACAGACTAAGGAACGACCTTGTTAGGCTTCTAAAAGGAATTTATTTGAAAATACATCGCGCAAACATATCTTCTTTGCGTCATACCTGCTTGACAACGATACAAGAATCTGTATCGATCCGTCGAGGTTGTTCATCCATAAAGTGTGTTCTCATCTCATTGCTCAAACAAATGAGATGATTTCATTTTCTGGTATTTTCTTGCGAACCCAACATGTAACACATGAGACTGTGAGCGAGTTCGGTGAGAAGTATTTCAAGTACATTACGGCATGTAAGCGTTATGCAGGAAGAACGTCCGAATTGATAAAATCCCTTACCACTCAGGTGGATCTTACAGATCTTAGAGTAATAACTATAGTTTTATGTAAAGACGTTATTAATTCTGCAATGAGTTCAAACTTGATCAAGTCAATATATCGTTTAAAACGCCTTAGTGTACTACCCGATGAACAAATTCTATGTTTTATCAAAAGAATTCGACATCGGCAGTTTAAATTCTTGTTTACCGAATTTACGCACGAATTAATGCACAGTTTCCAAAATTGAAGTCTTACGATGTCCTACAATCCATATCCGGCTGTCCGTGTGTGCGTGCGTGCTTGTGTTTATGGTTCTATCTTCCATTGCAGCAAGATCACTTTTTGCACTGATAACCAGTTAGATGATGCTAGAAAATACAATCACGTGTGTCGAAGTTTAATGTAATTCACTGGTACAATACGGGTGATGAAAGAAGCTTTAAGAGTTTGCTGATGGTGAAGTTTGATCATATAGCTCAGGGTAATAGCTCAGAGGGACAAAATATGGTTTCGAATACGTCTGAATGTATACAGAAGATGACCGTAGCTCTACAATAATATTATTGTCAGCTTCGTCGCTAACCTTGCATCTCGGTATTTAAAGACGGCAATTGACAGGCATTTGAAAGTAGGATTCAAGAAAACAGAACCTCCCACGTCGATCGCAGTGTCCAGCTGGAAACATTTAAATCTATAGTATACTGTGTCAATGTAAAGACATGTCGTTATCTGGAAAGGCTTTGGCGTTGGATGGCCAACGTGTCATTGTGACATCCTATCAGCCTCTAGTCTTGCTTCCTCTCAGATTGTGCACATGGAGCATTGGAACACTGTAATAATATCAGTGGCATGTGTATTTAATCATCCTTTAAAGAGTTTGATTTTAGATCCAACTCTGATTTGAAAGTACTGCAGTTGCATAGTATTTAGCTTGCCTAACCTGCAAGAAAGAAAATGTTCAATCTTTTGGGAACATCTTAAATGTTCTAAAGCTTATTCCACCACGACTAGATTACTGCAATTGCCTTTTGATTGGAATATCTAATGAAATGTTTGTAAGACAAAATATTCATCGTTACTAAAAGCATTCCACATTCATTACTTTCTACATACACGAAGGTATCGACTTCAAACACCTGCTTTCAGTGCATTTCACCTTTTCTCCTGGATCAGATCTCAAGCCAAAGTCATGTCAACTTCGATCAAGTGTCCAGCTCCTGCTCATCTACTTCTATCCCATGATCTAGACATGACTAAACCCCATTGACATTGTCATCTGTCATCGGTCAAGAGAAGACTGAAAACACACCTTTGAGTACTGGAACTAAGAGAGGTTTTGACGACAAACATTCTCTGCAAGTACGTATACGTCTGTAATTTATTTTACTCCCAAACATACCAAAAGGTTTGTACGTGTTGCAGTAGCGCTACACACGTGCGTTGGGTGGCCTTCCTGGTTATGACTCTTTAGGAAGGTCGATTGCTGACCATTATTTCTGAAACACAGGTGATTTCCTTTATTGTATTTTTGGCCTGTGGGTTACTGGCAGAAGTCAATGTGTAATTTCAAATATATTCAATGTTTCACAGTCGGTGATCAGTTGACTATTAATATTATGTTTTACGGATAAAAGATAGTATGCAGCAGAGAGGGTACGGGTGATCCTGGCACAGTCAGGCTGATAAGGCTCATCATCAGCTCAGGGTCCTTGCCCCCTCTACACGCAGCCCACACAGCGAATGGGACTTCTCCCAGGAAACGCTGCGCAGTCAAACCCACCAAGAACTTTCCGGAGAATATGTAGACTTCCCAACACTGCAGCCGTCTGCATTGCCCAGAGTGCCAGAAGGGCTGTGCTCCCGGTTCAAATCCCTGGCACTCTCCTGATCTTCACCAAGATCAGGAGGTACAAAACCAAGGGCACCGAGAACAATAGGATTCTGACGACAGTGTACTTGGGGTGCAAGCGAGACATTTCAAAGGCGAGGTCCGCATTCTTAGCATGCTTTTTCTGAATCTTGCCAATCACGTTGCTGTCAAAAGGGACAGAAAATTCAATTATATAAATACATTCATTGGCTTTATCAAAAAGGACATGATCAGGTTTG